ATAGTAAAGCTACTTTCAAGAAACAATAACTATGTGTTACGCACACAAATATGATGAGTAATCCTGAATCAATAATTTGTATAATTAATTTCAAATTATTTTATAATACCAGGAAGTACCTAAAGCCATAGATAAGATAAGTTTATAGTTATGTAGCTAATAAATAATGAAAAACATCATTCATAGAAAGCTTTAGTACTATAAGTATGTTATTACAATTCATCATTAGAAATGCCTTTTTTAAAAACTAAAATTATTCTAATATAACTAGGTACCTACCTAAGACATATGAGATTTATCTTGAAGAATTTTATCATAAATTATATTTTCATTAAAATAATTCACATTTGAAATATCATTAATATTTAGCATTAGGTAGGGACAATCAATATTGATAAAATGTGTATAAAATATTAATTTAGTCTACTTATTATTAAGTTCAATGAAATAATTAATTAAGGTAGATATTTAAAGTCAGTAGGAAAATACAAATTAAGGTAAGGGTTAAAGAAAAAACATTTGAAATCACAACCTAGTACCTACTATAGATAGGTCATACTAAAAATTGTTGGCAATAGATCAACTCCACCTTAAAAATAGATAAACTAAAATCATCGGACCTGGCTTGGACATCATTTATTTTTTTTATTTTTTATATGACCGCTAACCACAATTTTATTCTTCTAGATAAAAAAAATAAAACATTAAAATACATTTTTACAAATTAAATACCAAAAAATTGATTATGATCTGAAAACAATTAAAATTGATCATATTATATCTAATCATTAGATAAATTATAATATAATGCTGCAATGAGTAAAAGAATAAAATACCCGGAAATATTTTAAATAAAATAATTAGTTGAATAAAGAAAATATGTAATAATATTGATATGCAAAGTCTACAGATATAAACATGCAAAGTTCAAGTTTTTTCAGACCATTTAACACATTTCTTCCTCATTCATAGTCATTATTTTATTAGATATATTAAATTATATTAATCAAAAAAATATTGTTAAAAATAACAATAAAATAGTATTCCTATTGGTCATAACATTAAAATTTGCTAAGAAACTAGACATGTCACAAGTTAAAATAAAGATTTTACATACTTAAATGTAAATTAAGTACTCAATAAATTTTTTTTTTAACATGGGCACATGTTAAATTGTTATCTACCTATATCCACCTATAATTACCAAGGTATTATAATAGTTATCATTATTTGATGAGTTGGTCAAGGCTACGCCTGTGAAATACTTGATTAAGTACAATAGAAACACTTAATTAAGAATGAAAAAATTAAAATGTATGATATGGGTAGAACAGGCGAAAGGGACAGATTAAAACCATCCGTAGCATACATATTACATACCTATCGGCAACAATTTTGATGCGTTTCTCTAAGGTGTCGTACGGCAGGGGCTTGGTGTCTAACTTGCTCATAGCTACTTTGCTTGCACCAAACACGGCCGGAGATGAATGGAAGCATCTCTGCTGGATCTCACCAGATACCAGTTTGGTCCATGAAACCTGAGTACATGGAAATAATAGTTGAAAATTAAACCGGAATCGTCAACCAGATTAGGGTAGGAAAACCCCGAACTTTGGTGTCCCTTTAGTTAATACGTGAAATACATACCTGGGACTTAAAAGTTCTGCAGTACGCCATGGCGTCAAATTCGTCGACTGTTAGCTGACTGAACTGAAGATGAAGATTAACGGAATACAGCCAGTTTCAAAAGCACATTCGAGTAGTGAGTGGGGACGATCGGCGGAAACAACAATAATATAATAAATAATTAAAAACTAGTTACGATAACATTATAATAACGATAATAGGTAGTATATATTAATAAATAAAAGTTATACCGATTGGTCTTCGAGCCGAAGGTACGATTAATCGATCGCCGCTAACGATTTATCACCAAAACGATATTAGGATTTAGGAATAAATAATTATAATACCGATTATCTGATGAAATCAGAACGGTTTTAGACAAATTTGGAGAATAGGGTTTCGCGGGCGGACGGATACTACGTCGCAACCCGTTGGTTAAAGGAAAGTTGTCACTTGTCGAGAAAAGCTAAGTCAGAGTGGCGAATAATCGAAAAAACCTCGGCAGTCGGCGGCGCCTCACAGTTGTTAGCATATAACAGCTGCGGTTAGCGACTATAGCACTGAGTAGGAGTGGCAAAATGTGAGCCGCGATCGTCCCACACTCTTTCGGCCGATTTTCCTGTTTTCAGGGGTTCTACGTTTGGGAGAAATGCTAATTGTTGGCGTGCATTTTAAAAAAAGGCAGTTGGTAATAATATAGCGCTGTTCTAGGCGGGAAAACAAAATATTGAGTCGTAACAAATATTCATCAATGTGTTAAACACGTCCACCTCCTATATTTCTAATCTGGTGCCACGCGCCGCGTATTTTATAGGTACTGATAATATGCGCGGCACGACGGATTATGATCATAACGAATGACTATAAATGTATGCGAAAAAACGCGGGAAACGAAAACTGACTGAAAATAACTTTCTGTTAATATGTTCTGAATGGCCGTGATAAATAATAATGCAATGCCTCTAGGGCCGAATTATTGAAAGTTGTATTTTCAATACGCAACAGTGACGATCACCCGTGATCGGCAGCGGCTGTGAACTCGAGAAAACTCAAATTAAAGTTAATTATCAGTTAAATAACTATACTGAAATTGAGGGAAACAGACTATTTTGAATCAAACATAAAGCTTTTTAACTATTATTATATACATTTGTAATTTCGCTTTAACCGGGATATTAAAAACTTGAATACGTGCAATACCCCAAGATGGCAAAATGCATATTGCATATCATTGCAGATTGCACCCATGAGAAAAATCCCGGTTTCCACCTGACATCTAGGTCATTTCAGTAATTTTTAATAAATAAAATTCGATCGAATCGTAAAACACCGAATTTAATTCAAATTCGAGATTTCGAGATAGGTATAAGTGGTATGACTTTTTAAAGTGCAGGGTACCCTCACGTGCGAACAACTTCCTCATGCACGGCAATCCGTAAAACCAAATAATTCAAACCTTTTTTTAAATTTGAATATCTGTTCCGAAGGAGGTCTGGTCATTTGTAATACAGCAATCAGCAATGGAAAATTAAAATAATATTTTAAAAGGTACCAAAACATCTAAGGAAATTGTTTGACCAAATTCTAGGTATGAATTTTAAAGCGAGCAATCACTTTCGCTGTATAATAGATATATGAAATATAATACCTACGTATTTTCAAAACTACTTAAAAACTTGTTCCCGAATGAGCTTGGTTTATTTTAACAAGCCATGCTAATATTATCAAATAAATAAATTATAAATGTGGAAGTCAGTTTGTCCGTCTGTTATCCGTTTTTACACATAATACCTAAACTGCTGAATATAATCGCAATTAAGGTGGCTTAGCCCCCCCCCCCCGGCAATTTGTAATCATATTTTAGTTTATATTTTTCTCTCCGCCGCGACGTGCCGTGCGTTAAAGCGTATACACTATACGGGTATATAAGATATAATAGGTATAAAGTGTCAGATAGGTTATCTTGAATAATTTTGAAATTGAGAGGTAGAACGTAGAACAACTAGTCAACAAAGGTAATACTCCGACGGCTGCATACGAATTGCGTCCCGCGGCAAAAATTCATTCCGAATATTGCATCCCGGGTTCTTTTGGAGGTCATACTAATTGCGTCCCGGGTTTTTTTGGTGGTCGTACTAATTGCGTCCCGAATTTTTTTAACTTTTATAGGTACCGATTGAGTCTCGTATATTATAAAAACTAAACAATATTTCTCCCTTCCCATTTTTATACAGACTTAGGACTGTCTGTAGTAATAGTTACTAGTTAATACAAGTAGATTAAAAATATTGTTTTTGCTTAATATATTATTTTTGTTTTTGTATTTTGTCAAAAAATTGTAACTGTATAAAAAATATTATCGTTATTGGTGAAAAATGTATTGTTTTTTTTTTGTAATTTTAATTTTATAAAAATGTTATAGTAATATAATATAGTACCGGTAAAAATGTAAAAGATAACTTTTTTAGGAATTCAAACCAACTAATTTTTTTTTATTCAAAATCTGCCATTGCTTGTTTTAAAAATTGTTCTTTTTTAATTATAGAGGTTGTGCGGTTGTTTAAGTGAATACTACGTTGTTTTATATAAATATCTGTTTGTAACCCCTTCATAGTATATCAATAAATTGAAAAATATTTGGATGTGCATTATAAAACATTGCGTTGAGCTTAGAATGAAAAGCTTCACAACTATTTGTAGTTCTCATAGTAGTGATTCGTTTTCTTCGTCATGATTATGATTAATAACTTAGCTATTATTTTTTTTTAAGTACTTGTGGAAGCGAAATTTGTACGCACCAATCACAAATAAATCCCTTTGTTTTTCGCTAAACATAGTTTTAATTTCACTCGCCATAGTTATTGTTAAAAGTTAAAAACTTGGTTTAAAAAAAGTAACACGTGTGAATAAGTGAACCGTTTACACTGCACTGCGACAATAATTGTGTTTGTCTATACAGAGAGTAACTCACTATAAAATTATCAAAGTTTTAACGTAATCGTTTTTATTCAATCTATAATAAATTGATAATAAGTAATAACCAATAATTTCGACTTTAAAGATATCACAGGTAATGGGGACGCAATTCAGACGTGCTCAAGAAAAACCCGGGACGCAATTAGTATTATACCTTTTTATACCTTTTTATACGGGACGCAATTCGTAAGCAGCGACTCCGACAACAATCATCCTTTCCTATACGGCTAATCTATTTGATAATATGTTAAAATAATGATAATATTCTATTTTAAGAACAAAACACTGTTATTTTTTATATTATCATCAAACTGTTTTTACACAAAAACTAATTCAAAATACAAAAATAATGAATAAATATTAAATATACAATATACATAATATATAATAAGTACTAAACTTACGTGTAATATATTTGTTATTACTTAATGTATTAATTAAAAAAATTACATATCATCATCACTGTCACTCGATGATTCGATTTTAAATGTAGAAGTATACTCATCATCAACGAAGTCGTCAATTATATTGTCTATTTCCCAGAATTTAGTTTCTTCTTTGATTGTGTGATTTTCGAAATGTCGCCAATTTTCCGCTGTGACCGATTCAACACCTTCAATCAGCAATTGTTTCATATCGCTGCATTTTAATGTGTTATTTTTATCTTTTACATATCCCTTAACCATAGACCAGGCTTCTTCGATAGGGTTTAACTCGCTATGGTGCGGCGGTAGTCGCAATACAATTTTATTAGCTGCCTTAGCGATTTCGTCCACAACATACTTATCGAACGCCAGCTTATGTTTTTGAACTAGATCTAATAGCTCTGCTTTCACATACGAATTATCAACATGAATATTTTTCTCTTGGAGCCACTTCATAATATTTGCCTTTTTCCACGACGATACTGGAATTTGTTCTGTCCTAACGGAATGATAAGGAGCATTGTCCATTATTATGACTGCATTGTCATTTAAAAAAGGCAAAATATTATTAAACCATTTTAAAAAATTTTCACCGTTAATTTCACTATCGTAGTCATTGCTATTAGTCTTAGATTCAAAACAAGTTAGACCTCCTTTAACAAACCCTTCTCGTGAACCTATGTGTACAATAATAATAAAGTATTTGCTTTTGCTAGTTGGGTTGCTAGCACCTGTTGTTATTTTTTTTCGAAATGCATTTGTATTTGATTTTATGGAATTGTCTACACATGTATTTTGTGAACAGTCATTACATCGCGTCTCTCCCAAATAATATAATGTTCGTCCTTCTTCTCGGTATGCTTTTATACTTCGTAAATAATTTCGACGCCACACAACTAAATCTTCTCTCTCAGATAAAACACTATTTCGTTTCCATTTCGTATAAACAAAATTTAAATCTTTAAGAAGATTGTACATGGTTGTCCGTTTCAATGTAGGTAAGCTGTCGTCTTCAGAGACAGAATTTACGATTTTATCCAGCGTTGGTGGGTCACGGTTATGCCAAAATGAATGTACTTTTTGACGAATGGCATTTTTATAAAAATCATCGATCACTTCAATAATTTTTGGTCTGATTTTCTTCATAATTGGTGAAGAAATAGTTTTGTTCGCATTATACTCTGAAATCATTTTTTCAATACTATTTCTTCCAATTCCAGTTTCAGTCATTAATTCTTTTACTAACTGTTTGTATAATATGTCAGGTTTATCTGCCTTCTTTCTCTTATACAGTTTTATAACTAGTATTTTTTGTTTACTTCGAATTACCTAGGTATATCAAATAAGAAAATATTATTTTACGTAGGCAATAAAAATAAATGTTATTAAAAAGTATAAACAAATCACTTTATAATTTGATAATCTTTCAATAGAAAAAAATTGAAAAAGATTAATTCTTACCTTGCCTCTTTTATTTTTTTGAACGGGTGTAGCTGGTAACACTTGATCACACATTTTGAAAAATATTCATACGATTACAGTTTAAATGAAACGAAGGTCTAATTATTTTTGTGTTATATTTTGTCACAAAAAAAAAACTGTTGAAACTATTGAGAAAAACTAACGGCCGAATTCGAATTATTGAATGCGGAATATTTTCGAATGTTGAACCCAAGTCACAACATTATGAACATATCACATAAGGATCGCTATCACTTTACCATCACTATCACAATAACACTGGAGGTTCGCGAGTCACGACTGTCAGCATTGAACTCTATATGATAACATATACATACACATGTTATCATATAGAATTCAATGGCTGCTACCCAAAACAGTTGGCTTTTTTAACCTAACCTAATTGTATCTATTCTGTGACCTAACCACTTTCTAGGTGGTGTCACAACAGTGTGACCGCACACAGGGATATTTTTTCAAGTTATTTTTTTGGATCTGTTTAGGTACCTCGAATACTTTTTTCTATACATTAAAATATGTATTTTAGTATTTATGTACATATATTATGTCATACCTTTATCGGGTAGTCCAAAATGTTGAATTATCCATCACCCTCCCCCCTCACCTATAACTTTCAAGATATAAACCTTGAAAAACTGAAAAATCATTTTTTGGATTTTAAATACCTCGGTACCTATATAAGTCTCTGGAAACAAAGATTCGGGGTTTTGGCTATCCTCCCATTGCTATTACCTTAGACCCGGATTCAATTAAACCCGATGTTTTCTTTGGTAGTTTAAAATGTTGGATTTTATGGATTTGCAATTTAAGTCCCACTCGAACACGATTCAAATTGCATTTAAATTGAAATACACTGGCACAGAAAGTTCGTATCCAATCCATATTTCAATATTTGTGATTCAATCCACTGCAGGTGATGTATTACCCATCCATGCCGGATTATATGTACAGCTTTGAGCTTTCAACATTACACCTTTTGGCTTTTATACACACAAAAAAATACCAGACAAGCACCGAAGAGTCATCCGCAATCTGACGTACCTAGTCATATCATGAACTGAATTACACCAAATGAAATACCCAACTATGGAGTCGAGTGAGTCGGCTATGTAGTATGTACACTCAAACACTTTTTCATCTTTACATATTCAGTTATTGGAGGGAATTTTAAAAGCTGTGTCAGCTCCGTCTTACAAGTGCGTATCAATTTTAGCAGATCTTATTTGGCAATGATAGTTCTAATATTAGAATGATTTTTATTATTTGATACTTATGAAGTTTAATGATAACTACTGAACTAAAATTTGATTCATATCACGCAAGAACACATGGAGGTAAAACATCCTCTTCAAAGCAACATTTTTTTATACATTTTTTAAACTTCATTTGTTTTACTTTGGATTTTTTGAAGCATGATTTGAAAGGTAAATTCTCCTCTTTTAACCTCCAAAAGCTGACACCACTAAAATATTTATAATTATTAACGGTTCTATAATTTATTATAGGTATATCAACTTACATACGTATTGTCAATTATTTCCATGAAAACTTTACTATAATATCTGAAATAATGAAGAACTTAATTTTTTTTGGTCTGAAGCATCGGCATCTATGGCCGTAACTTTTTTTCGAGGAGTCGTGGTTGAGTTTGAGTAACACGTTATAGTGTGTATGTGGGGCGAAGATTCGCCGCTAAGCATTCAGGTGGTCACCCATCCGGGAGCTAGCGACGCCGGACGATGCTTGACACACATCGGGGACTACGAGCAACTATCGCACCACACGTCCACACCAAGCCCCAATTGTATTTTTTTTATTTGTATTTATTGCATAATACCTATTATTTTTTGTATCAATTTTATATTTTAAGCTATTCAAGAATATTTTTAATTTCCTTACTTAATTTCCGATAAATATTCGATAGTTATTTTATTGACAGGCTATAACATACGACAATTTATTATACGTACGAATGTCAGTCGTTAATACTGAGTTATAAGAGAATAACAATAATATATTATGATAAAAATAAATTTCAATAATATAATATAGGTGTATCATGTTTTTGGAAAAAGTTAACTCAACATACTGTATATACTACTATAATAGGTATCTATACAATATAATTACTAATGCTAATCATACTAATAGAAATTTAAATGAATTATTGTAACACACTAACACACACTTAGAAATAGAGGTTGAAACAATAATACTATATCCTTTCAAAATCGTTTTAAATAGAGATAGAATAGGTACTATTTATAATTGAACTCAACCCATCTACTAATCATTGACGAGGTACATTGAAAAACCTGATTTACAGCAAACCAACTTTCTCAGCATTATAAAATAATTCAATGTTTGATAAATTACGGCGTTGCTTTAATTCGCTGTTGGTTCACAAGCAGACGCCTAATGATAGATATTCATAATATATTTTATTATTCATTCGTTATTCAATCCTTACAAGTCACCCCACCCCGCAGAACTTTTCGCCAGACTTTGAGTTTTTTGTGTAGGAGGGGTAGGGTTTAAATATTATGATGTAACTAAACATTGATATAAATTAAAAATAAAAATCGTTGAATTTTGCTGGACTTTCCGTGAGTAGAACTGTACTACTGTAGTATACTATTATGACTCCTATATGTACGTATACAACACTATTTAGTATTTATACCTATTTAATTGTACAAATATGTTATTATTTTGTGACCTGTATAATATACCGTCGTCGTTTATACTTGAGTATTTTTTCGTTACATTATTTTTTAATAAATTCTAAAAATATAATAAATTTTACTTCACCCAGGTTGCAAATGGTTCGTAGCAATACATTTTAATTTCAAGATTAAAAAGTAAAATATGTAACTATGTAAGCCCCAAAAGAATAGGAGGTAATCAAATTTACATACACATCGACACTTCGGGTTAAATAGAGCTGTGGCATATCTTGAGTGCAGGCTGCGGGCATGGACCAGTTGCGCCTAAAACAATATTTGTATTTTAGGTCAGTACACGAATTGCGCTACTTATAAGAGCGCAATTGGTATATTAAAAGGTCATTTTAAGCGCAATATTGGTAAACTCCCCAGGCTGCAGCACCATATCAAAGAATTGCTTTCTTCATCTCACTCTGAACTGAAAGGTTGGAGATATTTTATAAAAATTACTTGAGCAGAATGAAATATGTGAGTAAATGTTGTACATAACGACTGAATGTTGTGTTTAACGAATTGTCGGTTTATTGTTGCCTTATACATTTCTCTTTTGTTCATTGAAATAATTATTAGAACTGTGAATAGTCTCCGACGACAATCGACTTTTGCCATGAATGATAGATATTATAATATGATATGATATCGTTATCAGTTTTCGAGTTTTTTACTTCTTTGGATGACACGATACATTTTTTATTTCAGGTTCCGAAACAGAATATTATTCGGAGTATTTAAATCTATAAAATTAATAACAAGGAGCTCTGCGTACATTTTATTTAGCTACACTACTGTCGCGAGTCTATTATTTTTTCCGGCATCTCACAATTCTCACAATATTGTTTTAGTTTGAATTGCGAAACTATAACTAATTATAAAAGTATAAAACTCTAAAAGTGTCGAGACTTGAAAGATATTCAAAATTAGACTTTGAAATTTACAAAAGTAAAAAAAAATCGGATACTTTAATCATGCCTGGGTATATAATATTCTATCTGTAATCGGCATTAATGTTATATTAAGCTAAATTATTTTATAAATAGTGTGAAGTCACTGATGTACTTGCTAAGAAATTGTGTGTGATTATATACTACGCTACAATACTAAGTAACCAGTAACCGCAATTAGTAATGACCTAATGGCTAATACCTATACATAGTACGTAATAACTAGGGAACGGATTTTATTGTAAATACATATTTTTATTGGAATGAGATATTTTTAATCTGATAAAAAATGTGCACGATTCAGATCATTCTTATTAAAATAAGCCCAATTTTATTTTACATATTTCTACATATTTGGGTAAAAATACATAATATATTCACATATTTTGTAAATAACTGAATACCTATTTCGTAAATATTTGGGTATTTTTGGTTTTTTTCTTCAATTTACAACGACGTCAAAGATTATATTTTGCCTTATCTTAATGGCATTCAGATACCCTATGGTCTATAATATATTATACGTTGTCGATGAAAGCCTAAAATAATAATATTTGTAATTTTCAATGCCGATAAACATTATCTACGTTAGTACGTTCTCTAAATGGACTTACGTACTTTATACACTGCTATCGTATTATACACTGTGGACAAGTGGGTAGGTAAAGTGTTTACTCAATGTTACGGTCTTCTTTCTTCAGTGTATGTCTAGTTACTGTTCTGGCGGGCGTAATTATTTGCATCGTCTTTTTCTTCATATCTACATCGAAATTTTGTTGTTTTTTTTATAAAATTGTTTAGAATGCCTAAAGTTGCAAGTTCAATCGATAATAAGGTAGCCGCATATTTAAAAGAATTTCCGAATGAAACATTTCAAAGTGATTGGAACGTTTTATACTGTAAATGTTGTGAAAAATCGGTATGCTAACATTACGTCAGTTGACGTGGAACGTTCATTCTGCAGTCAATACAAAAACATTTTAGGACCAACCATTTTACGTTTTTAAATCTTAGAGAATATGTAGTTACGCATTGTTTTAATAATTATTAATTAGATAAGAGATAAGATTTTTATACTTACTTTTGGTACTTATTTTTTCTGTTAAGCGGTTATTACATCATATTTTGATTTTTTTTTACATATTTCAATAAAAATAAGTACATATTTTGATTTTTTTATTACAATAAAATCCGTTCCCTACTAATAACTATCAATAGCCGTGTACAGTGCCACAACTAGAGATGAATGGAACAAGGTGCGAGTTAAATTTTGGGCCCCCTATTTCAAACTGTTGTCTTAAATGGACTCCTTAAATATAATAATGGGGGCCTTTTGGGGGTACGGTGTCGCTAATTGCGGCACTGCCCGAGTACCTAACCAAGGCTTTCAAGTAAAGAAAGCAGTAAAAACCATATCATAATGTTAACAAATGTATCACTTCGATACTATAGGTAGGTATTTACCTATCAACCTATAGTTATTTTATTTAACCTGTTATTGTACAAGTTAAGTACAAGTATAGTTTGTTCATTGAAGAGGTCGTTTTGGATATTACTTAAAGTAGATAGTTATTTTTTTCATTAATTATGAAAACTGTAGGTTTGTTAGTTAGGTACACATGAATTTACTAGACCAACTTGAATTCACTAATGCCTCGATTAATGCTAAAATATGTAGGGACAAGGAAAGGTTCATAGTTATATTTACTATACTTTGTTTAACTATAATATATGTAAGTATTTTTTTTTCAGTGTGGTACTATATTTTTGTTCTTGGAGTAGACTACCGACTAGTGTGGGGGAATGGGGACCACGTTGTAAAGTACTGGACAAGCATGAAGCAATACACAAAAAAAAGTTAGTAGGTAGACGTTAATACTTGGCAAGATATACAATATAGTACCGAATAGACCACTCAGGCGATGACGACGATTATAATTTATGAACAACAGCTATAAATTAAATTAATAGCTGCGGTTAATGCATAATATAATATTTTGTACTGTAATTATGGTACTAATACGGGCTAAGTTATAAATTGTAACCATAGCATCATACTAATAATAATAGCTAATAGGTACTATTATTATTATTGACTATTGTATCTCTTACTTAGATACCATGCATCTACTTGACAATTAATGTACCTACTTGCAATAGTAGGCAATTATAATTGTATGTATAACTATAGTTTAGTCACTAAGCGATAGTATAAATACTATAATACCATATTACCATGATATAATTATGCATTTATGTATATTATAGGTATCATACAAACCCACTACAATTTAAAATTGGTATTTGTTAAAATAAGTTAATTTATAAATAATAATTAACAATAGTTAATACTTAATACCGATTAGTTATTATTAATTTCAATTTTTAATTAAAATTGAATTGATTTAGAAGATTTTTGTGGTCGTTTTAATCCCCCTCCAATTAAATCCTATTGCGTCAGTTAGTCACCGAGATCAAACTGACAAGGGATCTATGTAACCGTTCACCATTAATATTATCACTGAACATACCTTGATCCCTGTGCCTTGATAGTGAGTTAACTTGATAGACCGTATACTAGCTTAATAGTAATATTATAATCTTTTTAACTTTGAAGATTTGAACAATTATTCGATCATTTTCCTTCAACTTTTGACTTTCCGATTTCTCTGCTGATGCCTGATATTCTCATATCTAAGTACTGCGAAAGTTTTTATGACTTTATTTCATAGTTATATACTTCAGCTCATCAGCCAATAAACTTACGCATTTAATTACATTACACGCAAACGTAAATTATTTTTATTTTTTTTTAAACGTTTGTTGCCAATCATTTCGTGAAAAATGTCTGTTAAAATTGTTCAAAATGTGTTAAAAAGGTAATGTATGAAAGGAAAACGAAGCTTATGTAATATTTAATACTTAGCCAATAAGTACAATTTACTATATTATAGTTATTGTTTCATATAATTTTTTCTTATAGTTACGTCAGTGTTTTATACTAAAAAATAGTAAAGTTATGATGTTATTTTTAAAAAGATAATTGACTACGCATAAGAAGATAACTTGAATTTTTTATATAGTATAGAAGATTTTTGTATTTTGTGTAGTGCACCATTCAATCGCATGTACATGTCCCAAATAAGAAGCAAGGCAACATTGCCCTCTTTAAACTTTGAATATAAAGATTTGGAACCAATCATATCACGCGATATCATGGAAATTCACCACCAAAAACATCATAACACTTACGTTGTAAACTACAACAATACACTGGATAAATTACAGACTGCCGTAGCGAAAGGTTATGTACATTTCTTTTGAGTGATTATATTGATAAATTATTAAAATTGTTGTTTCTTTTACAGATGATACAGCAACTATCATAAGCTTGTCACCTGCACTCAAGTTTAATGGTGGTGGTCATATAAATCATTCTATTTTCTGGGAGACCCTTACACCTCATTCGACTAAACCTTCTGGTAAAATGTTTATTTTTATTTTTGAAGATATTTTAAAATTATAAGATAGTTTATTCAATTATTATTTCAAGTGCATATTATTAAGTTAAATTGTGTACAAGTTTAATTATAATACAGAATTTAGTTTAAGTACAACAGTTGTTACAACAGTTAGTGTTGACTGACATACATTTTGCTTTTTAGTACCTAGATCACTAAAAACATTCGTCAATGAATTACCGACAACTATTTCTAATAATTAATGAGTAATTTTTTTTTGCTATGTTAAATTACTTTGATACTATAATTAAAGCCAATCATAGATCAATGTTATTTATTACATTGCATATTGTCGACATCATGCACAAAGTAGTTAATTTTTTTATTTTAAATTTGTATAACTATTACATTTGTTTACCCTTGGTTGCTTTTTATGAGACAGCCTAACAACTTAACAAATCTTGTTTTGAATGGAAATCTATTCCTTAATGATTTACCTTATTATTTAGTTTATATTTTGTAATAATTTTTTAAACAACAGAATATTTGTTTTCTTTAGGTGATTTGGATAAGGCTTTAACCCAAAACTTTGGCTCATTTGATGAGTTTAAGAAACAATTAGCTACAGCTTCTATTGCTGTACAAGGTTCAGGATGGGGTTGGCTTGGGTTTAATCCTCAAACCAAGAAGTTGGCAGTCGTAAGTTGTGCAAACCAAGATCCACTGTTCCCCACCACTGGTAAGATTATATAATTATTAAGTACCGTTTTTATTATTGTGTGAAAATATCATTCTTGTTTCTTATCATCCATCCACTCATATAATCAATTTACCTATTTGGTATAATTCTCATCTAGAACTAATTTAAGGATTTTTAGAAATTTAGAAGAAGTAGAATTTATATATTAATAGTAAATAGTATATAAAATGTGCTATTTCTAGAATACTACTGATAATATATGTATTTTTATAACCAAACATTGAAACTAATAAATCAACCCTTTACTGTAATTACAAAATAAATTGCATTCATTCTGTAGTATAATGAACTTAGTCATGTCTAAATTATTTTATTTTTTGTCGACTGTTATTCATAATTTTATTTTATTGTACTAAATCAACATCAGGAAGAACGGTAATACCAACTATCAGAGATAGGATTTTGATGTTCTTTGTATTTTTTTTCCTAGAAGTGCTATACATTGCTAACCAATTTACGATTCATTATTCAACAATTTATATATCCCTGCATTATGGTTTCTGATCAATTTAACACACTAACTATGAAACATAAAAAGAATCTACAAATAATGACAAACTAAAACTATGATTTAAGGTGGTTATAGTAAGACATTTGGTGTTTGATTTAATTATGTAAACACCTAGTATACCTAGTATTAGTAAATTTTTCTGAGAACCATTGACTTAATAGACTTGTTTTTGATGAATATTATATGCAATATGATAAATTGTATGTATGGACAGTGGGATGATAAGAAACAGGCGATGCAATTGTAAAGGATATGTAGGCAGTACTCATTATTATATTAATTGAATACTCAAGTTTATTTATTTTTTTGAACAGGACTGATTCCTTTGTTTGGGATTGATGTTTGGGAACATGCTTACTACTTGCAGTATAAAAATGTACGTGCTGATTATGTCAATGCAATTTTTGAAGTTGTTAATTGGGATGCTGTGTCCAAACGGTTTTGTGAAGCTTCTGTTTAATAACTATTTCAAGTTGATAGTTCTTATCGAGAATAAAATTAAGTTTAAGCAATTAAATACTGTATAGATTTATATGTATGCCAGTAACTCTGTTTAGTTTCAGTTAAAATAAATGTGCAGTTTGAATTTTACTAACTAAATATAAGAAATATAACTTTTCAGTTAAAAAAAAAAAGGAGTAAGTACAGTGGGTAAGTGGGTAATGCTCTGCTGTACTTTAGATGTCTAGAAAGTCACTGTAATGGATGTGTTAAATTTGAAAAAATTTTAATTTATTAAGGATCCACAAAATTATCTACAAAGCATAATTTCATATCTCTAAAGAAAGCATTAAAAATGTTATCAGTTTTATTTAATCCTTGTAACCAATACTTGGCTAAGTACTCTAAGAGGTCTTCATTAGTACCACACATTTTCTTAACGATTTTAAGTCTGAGAGGCCTAAAAAGACTCAATTTTTTGTGTATTGGCACCAGTTTCAGGGTCCACAAAATTTTTCGAATGATTAACTGTTTCATGTACATAGCCCTTTTCAGATAAACCTTTATATCCAACTTAGTTAGTTAGTTAACCAACTAACCTAGTAACTTGTATTGTTACATGATAAAATATGTGTATATCGTTATGAACAATTAAGATAAAACATATAAATTGATAGATAAAAAATGTAAACGATGCGGAATTTCCAGATATAGGTAGTACACATAACATTGGTAGACCGCATACTATACTCATATTTATAATTACGTTGCACACAAAACGGAGGTAGACTGCATATTGGGAGATAGCCCCACTTTTTAAGATTCCTATTGTACACACACAATGATAAAATAAAATATTAATGGTACATTTATTGTTAATTAATGTAACTTGTTTTGGGAGGTGTGGGAGCGGAGCATTATTTACTTAATATAAAAATGCTAGGACTGAAGCCCCTCTAACTTTAAGGTCAAGTTACGCCTATGCCCCAGATTGTATTTAATATTTTGGTAAATTATTGTTAATGTTAATATTAAGGAGTAAAATAGGCAACTATTATAACAATCCGATAATAGTGGATGAAGACATTCCTCGGCCAGCCACTTCGCAACGTAAACTTAACCAGCTACTGACTTTAATACTTGTCAGCCATTTGGGTTATTCTCAGTTTCTTAAATACTTGCTTTAAAACGACTTCATGATTAACCTTTCAAAAAAAGAAAAATACCTATGTAGTTTGGTTAAAATAATATTATTGTATTACGGTTAAAATATTTTGTTTAACCATAAAGTAAGTTCAAAAAATAAAGATATTAAAATTTATAGTAATATCGTATATTGTATTTTTGTCATCAAGGTGACTATGTCAAAGATGTAGTTTGTTTTTGGCATAAATAATTAGTTTATTATCATATCATTATGCCTTATTGTGTCATAGTTTTGTGTGCCATTTGCATTAAGACATTTTTTTTTTAAATTTTCATTTTGTATTATCTATAATACAGTCTCCGAAGTGTACAAAGCTGTGATGGTTAAAACGTTCTTCAGAGCTAAAGAGTGCTGACTTGGACTTTCGCCCGAAGTACGTGTGTTTGTAAGTCGTGTATGGTGTATGCGATGCCGACCATAGTAAAGAGCAGCAGCCCTTATTACAAGTCACTGCAGTAATCGAGAGCCAGAGCGCCGGGTCAATGATGTGTTCGGCTATCGGAAAAACCGGCAAAGCAGTCGTCTTGCAGTGTAATGGGACTATCCCTCCAAGGCCCAAGTGCTGAGTTCTGCTGCCTAAACGGGTTATATGCTTTGCGCCAAGGACTCTACTGCAGCGGGACAGAACGACTTGGCAGGGTTTGGCTCGTTGGCGCTTAACAAGACATTCAACGGGTTCGTCGAATGCAGGGGCGGTTCCAGGGGGGGCTAGGGGCCACGGCCCCCCAAGGCCCAAAACCCGTATTTCTAAAAAATTGTATATTGCTAACAAAAAATCACTAACAAAAAAACATATTATAGTATCGTCTATTATAGACCCGCGTAAAAGTATGTAATTTTTGGAGGTACGTCGATGTATGAGTTGTAACATGCATCTACTATCTGTGAGGACTACGAGAATACTAAATAACTTGGGAAAATACTAAGAATATTGTCTTGATAAGAATTGTATTGTTATTATTCAAAAAATAATAATAAAAGTTGTAAAAATTGTTGTTTTATATTTGTTATAAGTTTTGTGAAAATTACAACTATTAGGCCCCCCCAACCAAGTCTCTGGAACCACCCCTGGTCGAACGCAAGTTTGAGTCTGTTGGTGGGCACGAGCCTGGTTCTTCTAACGAATACTCTGAAATACAGCAAGTCTTAACAGGCAATAATTACTATCATCATTTATATAGTATTATATAAATATAGTAAATAATATTTACTTGGGTCATCAGCGATCGTCGCGTATTTGCCTCTTGGGTGTTTCTTGATTGGCGAATACTATTAGGTATTTATATATTTATTCGTTAATACATTTCTTAATATATACTTACACCATCCCCCGTGGTTGTAAATTTATAAATATGATACTTCAACTATGTAACTGTAGAAGGAACAAAAGTTTTTGAAAATATTACTATAAGGTTAAAAATGAATGGGAGTTTTATTTTACAAGTCTGTTGTACTTTAATTTATAATTGGGATACTCTAGGGATATAATTTGGGTTTAGTTTTAAACAAATGTTGAACACACTTATAACAGAAGAGATTAAGGAGGATCCTTGACTGCTATATAGAATCGTTTACCTCAGTGACAAAGTTTTATAAATAGCCAGTGTTGGGTAGTAATATAACGCAAATTACAAATTACTGTAACGCAATTACTTTTTCAGTAACGCAGCAGTAATTGCATAACATTTTACTTAAAGTAACGCAATTGTAATGCAATTACTTTTTAAAAGTAATTTCTATGAAGTAACACACTATAGCGTTATTTTCCAAGTTATTTATTAAAATAATAGTTTTAAAAGTATTACAAAAACAAGCCTATGAGATATCCAGAATCAATTTTATTTATTTTTGATTCCGTCGATTCCGATAATAGTTAACAATATACTTAAATATTCCAGGAATGAATCGTATTACTTCATAAGCAGAAAGAAAAGAGTTCGGCTTAAAAAGAAAATTGAATTAAAATGAATTATGATTTACTACTATACTTCCTGTCTATCTATATGGCTATATACCTATATACACATTTAAACTGACATACCTACCTACATCGATGTTAATACCTTACTAGACTGCAGTCACCATTTACAATTAATACTATATTATAGTATATATAATATATACTACCTAACCAAAATGTACATTTTAATAATACTAAAATAAAACATATCATATGAATACGAATATAACATAGATATTAGCATTACTTATTACTAGTATTATAGACATGTGTAGTTTGAGTTTAAACCATATAGCCATATAATAGATTGGATGATTGTACATTTACATAATATTATTTTGTAATTTGTACATAATTGACCTATTATAACTAGGTCTATGATTGTAAAATACATCATAATATGTATTTAATATGGTTAAAAAAATAATAACTTTTATCAGAGATAAAAAAAAGACTAAAAAAAAGTAACGTTATTTGTAATACACTACTTTATTTATGAAAAAGTAACGTAAGGTGATAAAAATAATTTTAGGTAACTCAAATGTAATTTAAATAAAAACATTTGAAGTAACGAGTTACGTAATTCTATTACTTTTTAAAAGTAATTTACCCAACATAGTAAATAGGTAACACAATTCTTAAACATTATACATTTTTGTATTACTAAATAACTATATTATGTTCTGCTATCATAGTCCCCATTACATGTTATAAAAATAAATTATAAAAATACAAATTCAGAATTTATTAAGATGGTTAAATTAAAGCTACATAGTACATACGTCGTTGTTGATGTTCTACACTGAATTCATTTAATTAAAATATTATAATAAGCTACTAAATATTGTCCAACCAAAGTACCTACATGTTGCCGAATTCATTGGGTCCAGAAACGCTCAGAATCGTTTTTCGTATACAATGATATCGTATTATTAAATTCAAATTTAATATCATTCATTACAGCGACCTTCTAGACACCTAATGTACAGCAGAGTGACATCCACTTACCGGCTTTTTTAATTTTTATTTATAAAGAATATTCATCTCAATACAAATTTTTTTGAATTTAAGTAACGTACAATTTATTAATGTATTATATAAAATATTAGATTATGCAGTGTGCTTATAGAGAGTTTTAAGACCCACGATTTGATTATAGTTTAGTATCTATATTAATATATAATATGACTGATGAGAATTGGTTTTAAAAAAAAATCCGTTAGTTCATTAAAATCTATTTTTTGTATTTTGTATTTTCTTATATATGTATTAGGACTTTATTTACTGAATACAAAACGTAATTTAACCCTTAAGGTATTCAACATAATATTTTTGTTAATCATGAAATATGTGTTGAGTGAACTAAATATTTTATTCTTTGCTACTACAGTACTGTAATAACATAAAACGATCAAATGCAGGTTTTATTGAATATAGTCTATGGCTTAGTAGAAGTATGATTTTAAATCTATACTAGGTATACGCATTTTGTTCATATGCTACAAAAGTTTCTCGTAGGTACATCATCCATGGTAATGTGATATGTGTATTAAATCATGTGAGTGTATAATTGGTATATTGTATTACATTACCTATATACTATTATTTAGGTAGCGCCAGTGAACAGTGCACAATGAACATGGTAATGACTTATTCTTGTAATCACGGTACGCTGCATTCGGTAACCCTCCGACTAAAAGATACCCATGCAAGCGTGAAGGGTCTTCAGAGTCACCCAAAACAGTTTCCGGTTGGGTTGGGTGCGGGTGTTTACATCAACAAAAACCTGCTGAAAAGTTTTCATAAATATATAATATTTTATAATGTACAATATATTTGGGTTCGCCGGTGTACAGTGTATAAATAAGGGACTCGACTAAATAGAGTAACAAATGGCCGTGGAGAGACGCGTTTACAACGATGATAGACTTATACCTATATACCTATTATTTAGCATGCATACATACGTCACGACAACGGTAGTCTTATTGGTTATT